ATCTAGCTTACCCCCAATCAGAGAAAGATTGTGTCAATCTTAAAACACTAAACACACACATTATAAAGCCGTCTGATCATACCAACAAATTTGCATTTGTTATGGATCCCACAAATGGTCTTTTACAATGGACTGATTTACTAACCGACAGTATTGCGTTGAACAGCATTGGTGATTTAGAAACAACATCGGGTAATTATCATACATACAATAAAAATGTGAGTTTTGCCTCCATTAGAAAGAACTCAGAAGGATATAAATGGCGATTAGCTATCCAAGGCCATCCCCTTCAAACAGACAAAAATATATCTTATGTTTGGAAATCCTTACCACAGACTATCAATTGTAGCATGAATCTATAATTACTGTTGATACAACTATCAGCCAGGGAGTAACTGTGAAAAGATGGCATGTCAATAAGTACTCACATGAGTATAAAACTTGCTCCAATCAGACAGAATTTATGTATTACCATAAGCTTGTAGCAGTATTCAGTAAAACAGCTTCATCCAAGCCTTATTTTCTACACGTGCAAAATATTATGGCGCAGGCAGAATCTGACCTGGGAGTTTATCCAACTAATTTTGATAAATATTACCTGATAACATACGGTATTCTCGGCGAAGCAATGGATTTAGATGCAAATAAGACTTATGGTTACCATACGGCGAGGGGATATTCCGCCCACAAAAGTTGTTTACAATGTTGATCTCGATATGAACCGAAAGAAGATATTAAATATTGTTCCAGATAAAAGTCGTAATAATAGTGCGGCTACTGTGAAGATGGTAAAATATCTGTATCCTTTTACAAAAAATAATGTATACAGGACAAGTTTTGAAGAATTTTATGATTTCAGTGATGCCAGTAACTATAAACTGACAGGTGGGGCGTCAGGCATGACATTCACAGGCATTAATGCTAACATAACGTTCCCCCAAATGAATATTAGTGATGTTCAGAAAGGAGAATTGAGATTAAAAAATCAAACATTGAAATTAATATTATCTGATGGAATGGACTTTACAATATGCGTTGTTCTGCAATTATGTCTAAATAGGTCAATGAGTATTAAAACATTCATAGACGGTAGTATTAATGGAAGATCACATTTGATTTATAACAGTACAACAAAGAAATTAGAATTGGATACTGCTGGTCATAATGATAGACGTTCTATCACTGTACCAAGCAGTTTCAGTGGTAAACGAGTTGTGTTTTGGCTATCTAAAAAAGGCATAGGAAGGTTCATAGTCAAAGCGTCAATATCCAATTAGGCTTCTACACTAACACGATTTCCAAGTTGTGCATCCAGGAATAACTATAGATTCGAAATATTCTCACATGACGCTGTAATTTATAAAGTAATGCACTCTTCAAAGTTCTACGATTTTGATTCTGTGTAATTTCATAAAATAACGTTACAGGAAAAGCTAAACGGTTCATACGTTCTATAAATTGTCTAAACTAGTATTATAATGACCAAAAAAGATATATTTAATTTCAATCACATTGACCCAAATATTGATACAGAAAAATTAAAGCAGACTCAAGATCTCTATGCGTACTATCATAAATATTGCTTGGATTTATCGACATTCTCACAAGCGAAAAAAGCTTGTAAATATTGTCGTAAAAACCCCACTGCGGGAATAGTAACATTGGAAGGGAAAAATGGGAAAATAGGAATCCCTTGAACACGGTCTCGGGGTGTTGGGTAGAGCTACGGTTGCTATGGCGACGGAAGTGCCGGTTCACCCTTAAGCCAGAGAGGGAGAAAAAAACAAAATGACATAAAATGAAATGAAAAAGTGTAGAGTTCTTCGAAGATGGCTAGCCTAGAAGATCGGAAGTGGTGGTGGGAACAACAAAAAATAACAAAAAAACCTTCTCAGGAGGGACTGGGGGGAATAGGTGGGGCTGGGAAGGGGGTAGGGATGGGAAAATGGGGGGTCCCTCCTGAGAAGGTCTGGTGCCCACCAGTTTTGTTATTTTTTATCTAACCTATTATTAGTTGAAGTCAATTGTCAATTCTTTGATCAATTCTTGTTGCTTTTTGGTAAGCTTTGATATTGCTTCCTCTCTTGGTTGTTGTTTACACTGGGCCACATTGCGATAGCCTCTGCCATCGACAGTACCGTCATAGTATAACAGATTTTTTGTAACATCATCCTTGATTCGAAGAGTTTTGCCAAGTTTTTGTATTTTGTCTTGTAACAACTTTTCTGAAAAGCGTCAATGGCTGTCATTTGTGCTTGGTATTTTACTTCTTGTCTTTTAGGTTTTATTCCTTGCTTGTTTAATAATTGATCTCCCAGCTTCTCGCTAAAATCATAAATCCATTCATGCTCCACTTTTTCCAATTCACGTTTGCCTTTGCTTGGGGCATTAACAAGCAGTTTGATAGTAGGCTTATGAAGCCGATACTGATATACTGGACTCTTATTATTAGTGAGGTGCTGTGTTAATCGTGTCTGAAGCTCACCAGTTGTGTTTCCAATGTAGACTTTGTCACAGTTCTTGAATTCGATTTTATAAATCTCGCCACTGTTGAAATCGCTGTTGAGGTACGAATTTACAATTTCCATTTTTGGGGTGTTCTCTAATGACATATTTCTTGTTCAATGCATTGTTATTCAAATGGATGAAATCTAGTTTTGTAGTTCGTGATAATGTAGTGTACAACTTTTTCTTATCCATGCGATTTACATTATAGATATTATACGGCTCGTCGATATCAGCGCCTTGATATTTACAAACTGTACAGCAAAATGCTGGGATGAATGACTGAGCAAACTTTTCGATCGTGAATACAGTATCAGCAATCATGACAGTTTTTTTTCATCTATACTCTCTATTTCAAATTCCATCACATTGTAAATTTCATCTGATTTCAGATTGGTAGTAGCTAACATAGGCATTTCGGCACAAACTGGATAGACTTCTTTCCTGCCATCATAGATAAACTCTACTTCATAACTCTGTTTGCCCTTTGTAAATCTATCACAGCACTCTTTTGTGACCTTCTGTCTAGTAGAATTTAGATAACAAATGTTTTTGAATAAAGGCTTTCTGTCAGCAAATTTAGCTGCCACCTTTCCAGTTTCCAAAAACTTAGTCAACGTGTCTCTTCTTTTGATATCATATCTAGCACAACCCTCTTTGTACTTCATCTGGACTCGTCTAGGACACATTTCTGATATAGCCACAGACTAAAAATAGTCAGTGTTTGTAATGGCTGCCCTTTTCAACAGGGTCACATTGATTAGAATCGTTAAACATACAAATAGTATTATGATATTTAGTGAATGCGTGCTAGATCTTGGTCATCCACTTGGCGTCATGCTGTACTCTTCAATAAAGATTGTCTTGCCTTTCAAATGGCATATATCGCGGTTATGATAACTGTTGAAATATGAGTCAAAAGTACAACATTGATCTCGTAATCTACCATCGATCAGTGATTTCACATTTTCAATAGCCTTGTTAGTGAAGGACAATATAATCGGATTTGTGGCCTCTGACGCTAACTTGATGTGTTTTGTTGTTTTGCCGCATCCCGCTTGACCGTAATAGATAGTACCATCGCCCACAATATCAGTATAGTCATCTGGATCAAAATTATTTCAAAAAATGTCAAAATACAAAAGCTCAGAATTACTTGTAAACATCTTGCCAATCTGGTCAGTACTAAACTCAACTTCATTCTTGTTTGGGTATTGGTATTTAGGGTTAGTCATAAACACTTCGTCTGTATTGATCGAATAGAGTTGTGACTTATCAGTCCAATTGTCATAGATCAAATTCAAACATGATAATATTGCTTGTGACACAACAAATCTGTTCATCGATGTATTGTCCGAAAAAATGCGCTCAGTCTGACGCTCACGAACCAAAAATAATTCCTGATCTGTCATACTTTTCTTACAACTATCAATACTAATATTCTTTCCTGTTGCTAATCCTGCTGTCCAAATTGCTTGGGCTGTATCCATTAATCTACAAGTAAACCCATTATCAATTTTGCTATATTTTCTGCCCAAATCTCCCATAAACCCATTAGCAAGACGTTTGGATTGTGCTTCCGGGAAGGTGTCGAAGATATAAGTCAGGAATTTAGTAAAAGTATCAGGCTTCAAAGTTTGCCGTGCTCTGATGAAATACCTGATCTTAGAATAAGGTATGCGGACATTATTGACTAAATGTTTAACTAAGTTTTTACTATAAAATCCAGTCTTAATCTTGATATCAGCACTAAACTGCTTAATTATAAACTCGTCAATATAAAACTCACCATAGTAGTTCGTTGGTGTTTATAAGAAAAGGACTCGATGATATCATGTATCGTGTAGATCGGAATTGGTTCTTTATTATGGATCAAAATTGATGGATAACATTTTGAAATATCAAGTGAGACTAAGTTATCTGGTTGATCATCTCTGCTGCACAACTGAAGCGCCTAAGGATAAAAATCATCTAACACTTGTTTAGTCTTGATATCATAGCTACTCTCAGGCAAAAAAACCTCACACTTGTTTGAATAAACTGGTTGCCATAGTTGTAAAACTTTGATTTGACCAAAACAAAATCTGCTGTCTTGAACTTATCATAAAGACGATCACAAATCTGTTCTCTAGTCTCATACATGTCATTTGACACGTACATGTTATTGCGATGGTCAAGAAACCTATCAAGCCGGCCATTATTATTGAAATACAGGAATTCGACAAAGTAGTTAGTAAAATAAATATATCGATCAATAACAGGCTCTGTTTTCTCATTTTCAGGTAGTACGATTATTTTATTACTGACATCCAGCTGCGCTACTTCCTCCATATCATTAATAACCACAAAATGTTTATGGCGCCGCGACCATTTCATATCACTCATATATTTCCACAAATTCTCAACACCTCCTTGCCTTTTGTAGCTAAAACCTCGAGCTTCTCATCAGTAACTGGTTAGCAGTGATTTTCTTTAATGAGATAAACCAGTATAATATCATGATGCATTGTTGTTGCTATGTGTTTCATAAACTTCTTATAAGTTGAATCATTGTCGTGGACTGATACATTCGGATGACACGCTCGCGTCCAATCAACCACCTCTTGTGAATTCATAAATGGAAAGCAAGAGGCAAATTCTTATAACTCATCTTTCAACTTCTTATAAGAATAACATTTGAATCCTTCTTGCCTCGACATTGTTGCCAGATAAAATCAATCATGCATGTATTATCTCCTCGTTGTTTAATTGGAAACTGTTTATCAAGGAAAAACGAGTTCAGTTTTCAAGCACCAACTTTCATGTTCCTGAATTCTAATGGTTTATGTATCAATATTTTAGCTCCTATATTAGCAATTTTCTGTGTTGACAAAATACTAAAATCATGCTGGAGTAACGTGTATACTAAAAACTTGTATTTATCCTCATCACTGTTTTTAGGCATTTCCATTTTGAACTGGCCAAACGCCTTGAGTGTTATCACTCTCTTTTTGGCAACGATATCTTCCACATCCGCATTAATCATAACCTATACCTTGTCCCGTTTGCCTGGCTTTCGATTTAGCCTATTTTCAAACAAATTCTGGAATGTACTACCAGGTGTATCGTGCTTCAGCTTACTCATGCGAATCTCATCTGTTCTCATGTCAAAAATAGAAATACGCTTTTTGTCTAACGTGTTAATAGAAGCATTTTGTTCTGCTTTCTTGTTCCAATATTTGACCTTATCTTTCACTAGAGATTGTGCTGCCAAGGTTTTTAATGTTGACATTAATTTACTGGGTTCTGGCAGCTTAGCAGGTTGTTTAATAGACTGTTCTATTTTTTCTGCTGGCAATTGCACTAATGATTTCGGCTTTTTGGGTTGTATCATTTGTTCTAGTTTGTTGGCAGATAATTCGGTCAGCGACTTTCGGTAACACAGCTTTAGGTCTGACAGACTTTCTGTTCTTTAATTCAGCGGAACCCCGCGCCATTAACATGTCTATCTATTCATTTTTCGATAGTTGTGATAATTGTTCTTGATTCATATTACTATAAGTGTAGATAATCTTACTCTTGCTCATAGGCATAATTATATATAGCGATATCCTTTTAAATATGTTTCGTTTTTGCCATTAATTAGTGAACATAGTGCTGAGAGGCCCTTGTTGGGGGGGGGGGGGGGGGGGGGGGGTGGT